GCTAATTAGCTTTTACTAAATCGCTATAAATTTTTTTTTAACGTTTTATATTAATATTAATATATATAACTAACTATCGAAATTATTAAAAATTTAATATATAAATTAATATAAAAGTTAATACAAAAATTAACGGATAAAAAACTTATTTTTTATATAGTACTAAAAATAATATTTAACTTATTATTAATATTGCGTTTTTTTGCTTTATTTTTTAACTTTTATTTTTTATAAATTTAAATAGCATTTTAATTAACTATTTTAAATTTTAAAATATTAAAAAATGCATTAATAACTAATTATATTATATAAAAAAAGCAAAAAAAAAATAGTTAACCGATAAAGTTTATATAAATTTAAAATTATTAATAATTAAAAATAAACAAAAATAAGTAGTTTTAAAACTAAGTTTATTATTTATTATAACTATTTTAGCAATAAAATAAAAACTATACGTTTTTAAAATATTATATATACGTAAAATATTTAGTTTAGCTAATTTATTATTATATAAATAAATATTAATAAATCTATATTTTTAGTTTTAGTTTTTATTAATAAAATAAATATAAATATTTTAAAAATAGTTTTTTAAACCGAAAAATATTTATATATCGGCTATAATATTAATTTATAAATTATTTACTTTATATATAAACTTTTTTAATAATATATTTTTAATATAGTTATTTAATATAAAATATTTTAAACGCTTTTTAATTAAATAAAATATAGTTTAATACGTAATAATAAAATAATTATAATATTTATTTATTTTTAATAAAATTAAATAATAAATTAACGCTAATTTAAGCTTTTATTAATAATTTATTTAAGTTTATTTATAATTATAAATTAATATATTAATTAATATATTAATTAATATAAATATTTATATTAAACTTTTAATAAAATTAATATTTAAAATAATTATATTACGTAATATATATTTTATTAATTAAATATACTGCGTTATTATATTTTGCTTAATTTTTTTTAATTATATTAAATAAATTAAATATATTATATAACGTTTATATATAATTTTTAATTTACCGGTATTTATTTTTGCTTTTTAGTTTTAGTTATTTTAAAAAAATTTTTACTGCTTAAAAATATTTTATATTTTAGTAATCTGCTGCATCGTTTTTTTTAATATTCTATAATTTGCAAACTAAAAAATCGTTTAAAATTATTTTTAAAAATAAATATATAAATATTTTTAATAAATATAATAAACAAAGTTTTTTTTATAACAAATTTATTTATAATAGTAATTTTAAATTATATTAATAATAAACTAAATAAATCGTTTAATTTTATTAATAAAAATAATTATACTAGTATAATAAGCTTAATTAATATTAAAATTTTATTTACAATTAATAATTAAAATAATAAATTAAAACTAAAGCTATAGCTTATTAAAAAAAAAATAATCGTTATTATTATTATTAATATTATTTTTATATTTAAAATCGCTATTGCTATTATTAAATAAAACTTTTAAATCGTCTTAAATAAAATTACCTTAAGTTTATAATATTATAAAACATAAAAAATAAATTTTAAAATATATAAAAAAATAAATATTAAAAAATTATATTAATTTATATTATACAATAAATTAGCGAATTAATTAAATTATAGTTTTTTTAATATAATTTAATAATTATTAATAAAAATAAAAAATTTCTATTTTTATCTTTTATTTACTTTATTGCATTTTATATTATTTTATTTATTTTGTTTTATTTATTTTATTATATTATACTTTTTTTTATACTATTTTTGTTATTAAATTTTACTATTATTAATAACGCAATTTAAAAAATATTAAAAACACTTAAGCATAAACTAAAAAAGTTTTTTTAAAATTTAATAATTAAAAACTAAAAAACCTTTTTTTTACAACTTTTACTTTTTTTATTAATTATTCGATAATTATTTTAACAAAACAAATTTATTATTAAAACGGCTATAAAAACTAGCTTATTTAAAACTAAAAATAATTAACTAAAAAATATTAACAAAACAATTTAAAATAACTAATCGCTATAATAGCTAAAGTTTTGTTTAGTTAAACTTTAACGTAAATAGCGGCTAAAAAATTAATATTTTTTTTATTTTTAATTAATATATTAATTAATATATTATTAACTATAATAGTAATTATATTTTAAAAAATCTAAAAATACCAAAGCGTTTATAATTTATTAATATTATAGCAACTATTTTATTATATAATGTAAAAAATAGCTTTAACAAAAATAAAAAACATTTATATTTAAAACAATATATTAAATATATTATAAAAAGCTATAAAAATTTATATAATTAAAATATTTACTTATTAATACTGTTTTAAATAATATAACGTTTTTAATTAAATAATAAATGCAAATTATTATATAGCTAGCTAATTTTATTTTATTTAAAAATATTAAACGAAAAATAAATATATTAATTTTATAATAAATTAAACAAAAAAAATATATTAATAATATATATATTATTATTATTTATATATATAATTTAATTATTAAAAAAACATTTTTTTTACTTTTAAATATATAAATATTTTTTAAATATATAAATATTTTTAATATTTTTAAAATATTACATAAATTACGTAAAAAAGTAAACTTTAACTTTATAAATAGCGTTTATTTGCGAAAACTTTATTTTTAAATTTTTTTATATTATATTACTTTTTACAATTTTTTAATTTTAATAAATATTCGTCGCATTTTATTGCTAATATATTTTTTTATATAATTTTAATTAATTTTTCGTATTTTTAAATTTATTTTTTCGTTATTTATTACTATTAATTAAATTTTTAATACAATATAAAATAATTTTAATAAAATAAACTAAACTTTTTAATTTAATACTAATATATTTTTATTAATTATTATATATTAATTTATATACTAATTATATTTTAAAATAATTTAAATTTTAATACCGTAAATTTATTTTTAATATTTTTTACTATATATTAATTATATAAAATTATTTAAATTTAAAATTTATATTTTTTACGGTATATTTTATTTATATTTTTATTATTATTTATATTAATCGTATTATAAACTATTTTAAACTTAAATTTACTTTTTAATTTAGCAAATATATTAGCAAAACAAAGCGTAAATTTTATTTTATTTTATATTAATATATATATTAATTTATAATATTTTTAAACTATTATTTAAGCTGTTAAAAATTTAAATAATAGTAATAAAAATTTAAATTTAGTAAATTTTTTATTTTATATATTAATTTATATATTAATATATATATTAATTATTTTATAATTTGCTTTAAACAATAATAAATACGTTAAAAACGATAATAATAATAATTTTTATAAAAATAATATTAAATACGTAAATTTATTTTAATCGATTTTTAATATATATTAATAATATAAATTTTTTTTATTAATAAAGCTGTAAATTTAAAAAAAAAAAAAAAAAAAAAAAAAAACGGCTTAAAAATTATATAAAACGAAAACTTTACAAAGCTATATTGTTTATATTTTTAAACTGTTATTATTAAATAAAACTATAAAATTTATTAATTAATTTAATAATTTTAAAACTATTTAAAATTTTATTATAATTAACAATAAATATATAAATTTAATTAATATATAAATTAATATATTATTAATAAATTTTATAAATAAAACAATCCGAAAAATTTAATAAATATAAACTAAATATATTTATATTTTTATTAAAAAAACTTTTTTTACCCGTATTATTTAAAAAATTATTTAATATAACTATAAAAATAAATTTCGATTTTAACGCGCAAATTTAAAAATTTTACGTAAAATTTTAAAAACTATAATTATAACTTTAATAATTTATATATTTTATATATTAATATTTATATTAATTTATAAACTAACTAAAATTATTAATTATATAATATAATATTATATATATAAAAAAAGTTATTTTTATAGTTAAAAACTTTTATTTAGTTTTTAATATTATATGTAAAATAAAAAATTATAATATTTCGTATTTTTTAAATTTAACTATTAAGCAATAAAATATTAATAATATAGCAAATAAAAAAAATCGTCGTTAAATTTATAAAACTTTATTTAATTAACGTAAAAAAACAATTTAAAAAAAACAAATTATTTAAGTTAAAAAACTCCGAGCTGCTAAAAATAAAAAAATCGCTAAAACGCGTAAAAAATTATTTAAATAGCGCGCTTTTTTTAAAAAAAAACGGCAAAAACAATAATATTTAGTTATTTTTTAAATTAATATATAATTTAATATATAATTTATTATAATTTTTTGCAAAAACTATAATACGTAATTATTTTGCAAATTAATACGTAGCTTAGTATATAGTTTGCTGTAATAAATCGCAAATTTCTCCGTTTTTTTTATTTATTACATTTAACAGTTTTTAATAGGTACTTAAGTCGGGTTTTGCCAAGTACCCAACACCCGACTCTAGTCGGGTACCCGCCCGGGTACCCGCCCGAATGGAGTCTCGGGTAGTAGCCGGGTACCCATGGGCCGGGTATTGCCCAACCCTACCTAAGTTGTGTATGATATACCGCCACACCCTGCCTCGCTCAACCGGCAGATTTCGAATTGATCAAAATATCCCTAACACTATGAACTCAGTATCTCGGCGTTGGAGGGTATGTGAGGGATTCATCTTCGCTTTTGAGATTAATCTAGGCTAGAGATATCAATGTGCCTTTGGGCCGGAGCTCTCGGATACGCCTGGCTTATTTTTAAGCTATTCCAAGTACGGAAAAAAGCACGGGACAAGCGTTCACAAAGTTTCACCTCTTCTTAAAGCTATTACTATAGTTGCATTTAAGCAACAGCACGTGGTTTAGGGGCTTATTTGTTATCACGTCAGTCTAACGTACTGAGGGTCCCCAATGCATGTCCGGGCGAACTCATCTTTTGATATAGAGTGGGTTCAGTCATAGTGGATTAGTAATCATCGGCCTCGTGGCTTAATGGCATAGCGCTTGACTACGATTGAAATGGAAACTACGGTTGTAATCAAGAGATTCTGGGTTCGATCCCCAGCGAGGTCATGATGTAGAAATTTCGTACGAGCATTTCTATAAACGATCGCGCGTGATGTATTATCTCGATTGGTCTAGTGGTTAGGATACCTGCTTGTCAATAGTAACGAGCCGCAGGTGGCCGGGGTTCGATTCCCCGATCGAGAGCATATCTTTTTTATATTACAGAAGGTCGCTGAACAAAATCGCATGTTGGCCGGCACCGTCCAAGTCAGAACCGAGAGAAGATGATGGGACGAGATAGGCAGATAATAACTAGCTAGTCCATAAAATTCTATCGCAAAAATCTCATAGAGCTTCGGATCACGAGGCCTATTAGGACCGGTTCCTCCGAAATATGACTAGCTTTTAAAATTTTTGCAAAACAGCCAAGTACTACAACAGCAATTATACTCTTTTGGACTAATTAAACGATACAAAACACAAAGCGGGTTTTCAAACTATAAAATGTAAAGTATAACGATTTAGAAAAAATAGTCGCAGGCTATAATTATATACAGCTAACTTTTAAAATTTTAAATTAGTAGATATATTAAGTGATAGTAGCCTCACCATGTTTTATGTTTCTTAGAAAGCGTATGCGCCTGCTACGCAATACACCCTTTTGACGATAAACAATATTAATTAATAAGTTAATCCTAGAGTTGCAGCTTATGATATGGGTTCTAGTGCAAAAAGATCAACCCGTCGTTCGTCATTATCTCTTCGTCAGCCCTGCCAATAGGGGTTACGCGGCATATGAAACAGACCACGGCAGGTTGGTTCGCCTAACAGCTAGAACTGCAGATCCCGAATTCCCCGAAGGAACGCCTCTGGATCCTATGGAATACCAGATCCGTTTTACGAGCGTTTTCTGGACTTGGCACCCCTTAGACGTGCTTACTTCCCGAAGACCACGATGAAACTACCATCATATAACTGGGTGAACTTTGAGAGGGTCTTTTTTTTTTTTTGGCTGCCAATGCGTGGTACAAGCTCCCCGGCAAACTGCGGTTCCTCTTCAACGGAATTGGTGCAAATCTGCCACGAGATATCAAGGACAGTCATTGGTCTCACCGTATTCGATAACTGACAAGGTACGTATCTGATGATAATTCTCACTGTGAGTTTGACTGCCGCGCCTTTGTTCAGCTTAAAGGCACATAGAAAGTTTTACTAATTCTTAAGGAAGCGTGTTCACTAGGAAGGACTTGCGGGGATTACCGGTACTTAGGGAGTGACGAGGCCTTGTAGACTCTGACGCGTTGATAAAAGGGGGCTACTACTTCGCAAAGCCCATTCAGAGTAGTACGCGAATACCTTCCGTCACGGCAGCTGACACCCAGCTACTGTGGATCTCCAAGGAAACGGGCCGTAGTAGCATTACTACCCAAACGATGGCTGATATGACTCACGCTCTAATTATGACTGGTCAGAGAGGTTTCTTATGCTGCATATATTCGGTGTTAAGGACGAGGGACACGTAGCAACTAGACAAAGAAAGAGGCATATGAAAGCCTTGGTGAGATAGCTCACTTCAAAAATCAGAAACGCGCTCTATAGTTGCTAGTTTAACCCCGGGAGAATCATATTATACGATTCTTACGGGCAATTACTCATCCTCTAGGTTGAAGTATATGCTTCTATGTCAACAAGGCTGCCGTGCTTAAGGGGGATCACAGAGAGTACACGAAAGCTAACGGCTGCTATTATTTAGAAACGCTACTCTTAGATTATGCTACGCTTCCAGAGCTAAGTGTCTTGATATCTTACTTGCCAATTTGGGAATATGCTCCCCGTTTACCTTATATGGTCAATCTCTACCCTTCAGCCATGGCATTCTGAGATCGGAAGTAAATCACAGCCAATGATTGCAGTTCCCTCATTTCCCCCACATAGCTAGTGTATGTATCTCACAGCTTTGGAATCCAGACCGCCTTGTTGAGGGGTAGTTCAGGTGTGACTGGGGCCATCAGCGGCATGTAATATACTCCATTGGTCCGACATGTAGCCATCGGGGCTTATTTGCATCCCGGTAAACACATGCTGTATAACGTAATTCTTGGCAAACTAGTTAGGAATGAGCAATCAGAATCAAGTAGTGAACACCCTTCCGTTTGCACGCAGTTATACTGAGCTAACCGGGTAGCTTAAATGCAGAAACGGGGAGATCATCCAACTTCATGGTACTGGACCGACAATATATGCGGGGATGTCACATATGCATTTCTGATTCGCACGGGTAGGTGATGGATCGCCTTCGCCAAGTTGACATTAACGAGCTGATGATAGATCCAATTCGGTTCAATAAATATCAGGTAGCTTGAGCTGAATGCAGGCAACGACGCCAGCCGGCCTCTGAGGGGTCTGAGCTGGTTGTCTGAAACTGTTATAAGACCTGCTCTTCTCCCAACTTGGACCCGTCTTGAAATGCACCCAGGATAATCTGCCGACTTATAGCTGTGTCGATAATGGGTTTATCTAATTGTCTTAGCGATGACCTTGGAGAGGTTGACGTTATTATTGCAGGAGGTATATACGCGATTGATTCCACATGTGCATGTCAAAGACATACTTACAAGAATGTACAGGCGGCACCGCGGGATGCATCGTTGCTGGACGTCTGGCTGAAGCCGACCCCAACTTGTCGATCTTGGTGATTGAAGGCGGTCTAGACAACTATGAGAATCTCACCGTGGTGACACCTGCGATGTTCCTCACCCACCTTGCGCCGGACTCGAAGACTGCTCTATTTTACCAAACAGTCAAGTCCAAATACCTTGCCGACAGAGAAGCCGTTGTGCCCTCTGGAGGCATTCTCGGCGGAGGTTCCTCGATCAACTTCATGATGTAAGCTTACCATAAGGATCCCGACGGACAAATGGGTCAAGCAGTCAATTGAACTTCACACAAGGTACACGCGAGCACAGCGCGAGGACTACGACTCATGGAAGATTCCGGGATGGACAGCCGACGAATTATATCCATATCTTAAGAAGGTACACAAATATTCCACCTCTTAACTCCTCCTATAATCAATCACAGTCAATGCCAGCCCCAAAACTAACGCCACCACCCCCACCACAAAGCTAGAAACATACCACGGCCCCCGGGACGAGAGGCACCACGGCTTCGCGGGCCCCGTCCACGTGTCCGACGGCACGATGCGCCTGCAGAAGGTCGAGGACGACGTCCTCCGCGCGGCCGCGCAGGTGGGCGGCTGGCCCGAGGTCTCGGACCTGCAGACGCTGGACGGCAACAACGGGTTCCAGCGCTGGCAGCGGTACGTGTCGCCGGCGGGCCAGCGCTCCGACACCGCGCACGCGTACCTGCACCCGCGGCTGCGCGACGGCGCGCACCCCAACCTGCACGTCCTCGTCGAGTCGCAGGTCGTGCGCGTCCTGTTCGACGACAAGCAGGGTAAGCGCGCCTGCGGCGTCGAGTACCGGCCTAACCCGCGCTTCCAAAGCGGAGGCGTGGGGAAGCGTACCGTGCGCGCCCGCAGGCTGGTCGTCCTGTCGTGCGGCGCGTGCGGCACGCCGTCGGTGCTCGAGCGCTCGGGCGTCGGCCCTAAGGACGTCCTGGAGAGGGCGGGCGTGCCGCTCGTGGAGGATCTGCCGGGCGTGGGCCACGACTATCAGGACCACCACCTCATACTCTGGCCGTACAAGTCATTTCTCGAGCCCCACGAGACGCTGGACGACTTGCTCTCGGGCCGGTACAGCTTTGCGGACGCGATGAAGGCGAACGATCCCAGGCTCGGCTGGAATACCATCGACATTGCGGCCAAGGTCCGCCCCACCGAGGAGGAGGTCGCTGCGCTCGGGCCGGAATTTAAGGCCGCGTGGGACAGGGACTACAAGGATAAGCCGAACAGGCCGTTGATGCTCATGGCGCTGCTGAATGCGTGAGTAGTTTCTTCCCTGTGATGTTGTTCCGAACCCGGTCCTGCACTACAGCTTGTAGATTCAATATTTGCAAGATTAACACAAGATAGGTATTTTGGGCCTCCCGGCTCCATTGAGCCAGGTCAGTACGTCTCCATTGGGGCATTCTCAGCATACCCCTATTCGCGGGGCCACATCCATATCACGGGACCAGAGGTCGACGACCCACTGGACTTTGATGCGGGCTTCTTCAGCGATGCCGGAGACGTCGATATCAAGAAGCATATATGGGGATACAAAAAGGGGCGGGAGATCGCGCGGCGGACGGCTTTATACCGCGGCGAGGTCGCGGCGCTTCACCCGCCGTTCCCAGCTTCGTCAAAGGCCGCCTGCATCACCGTCGAGTCCCCGCGCACTAACGGGGCCGATGGGTCCCAGCAGGACGCAGTCCAGGACCTCGAGTATACGCCCGAGGACGACAAGCTGATCGAGCAGTTTCTGCGTGAGAACATCAACACGACGTGGCACTCGCTGGGTACGGCTAAGATGGCGCCACGCGAGAAATCCGGCGTCGTGGATAGGGACCTCAACGTGTATGGTGTCGCGGGTCTCAAGATCGCAGATATTAGCATTGCGCCAGAGAATGTCGCTGCTAACACGAATAACACCGCGCTCGTCATCGGTGAGAAGGCTGCGGATATCATTATTAGAGAGCTAGGATTGAGAAAGTAGCATAGAGCCAAAGAAGGAAAAGACGAGTGATTGTTGGAGTGGAGTTATATGACCGTATAGAACGCATGGGATTTGCTCTGTGCTCTCCACCTGTTTGTCGGATTTGATAACATATCGCTTTCTTCTGTTTTCTCTCCATTTCTCCTTATTGATTTTGTACTTTCTGAAGATTGCCAAGTTAAGATGAAATAGTCGATGGCGTTAATATGCGTCATATCCTTAGGAATGTCCAGCATTCCTAAAACCAACATCGTCGTTTTCCTATAGCTGCGGTGAAACTTGTATGCCAAGATTCTTATTAGGCCCTTTGCCTCTCTATGGCAGCTTCATTAACTCAAGAAAACCATGACTTGAATGTAGAGTATCTGTACCGTATCACAAGGAACAGCATCCATCATATTCTGCAGGAGT